CCCCCCCCCCCCCCAACTCTTTTGAAAGGACAGAACCATTATTGTGAGCTTTCTTATTTATTCTGGAAGCGAGTTTTTTGTTTTTAAAAGCAGCTACAGTTCTGGGCAGACTTGAAGAAAGTAAAACAGAGGGATGTGTTGCATATCGGACTCCAGAGAGAACGACTTTAAACCCAAATTTAGTGCTGGCACAGCTCCACGTTGGTTCATATTCTGAATTAGAGGTGAAACCAGGTAAAAACAATGTCTGTGGCTGGTGAAGACTTTTGCTGACTTCTTTGGAAATCAGGGAGAGAAGCTGAGCCAACGTTTCCCTGGGGGAAGATGAAATGGGCCAGGAATGGTGCATGAGGAGCGGGCTTGGTCTTTTCAGTTCCTCCCATCCTCTGTAACTCTTGCTCTAGAGGAGAAGCAGTTAACCTCCACTGTATTTTGTTCCCAAACCCCCAGGTCAGCAGCAGAAATTGTTAAGCCATTCCTAAATTTCACCCACTTCTCCAAATCTTAGGTTTTGATGGCTTGAGCTAGAGTACTGCCCAAGTGCAAACCATGGTCTCTGATCTGGGCAGCAAGGCTCCATCACTAAGGAGAACAGAATGACCTTTTAAAAAGAAATAATTTATCTTTATTTAGATAGTAATTTTCCACAACAACGCAAGGACTCGGGACTGCCGCAGGCTTTCTACCACTCTGATTTCTTTGTTCAAATGCCAGTCATTGAAGAGCTCACCGAGAATGGCAGTAAAGCACCAAATGCTGCTGCTTCTCAGCCCTTCATTCACAGAAAGGTGTTCCGGCTCTTGCAAACAACTTAAAAGATTTAATTTGATCATTTACATGCTGATTGGTACTTACAATTCAAAATAGATAGGCAAGAACATGGCATGTTCCTGTAGAACATTTGGTATAATTAAACTTCAAAAGAACAACATCAAACTAGGGCTGATTTTGAGTACGACGTTACATACTTTAAGGACATTTGATTGTTAACCCTTGCGCTCCTGCTCTCCTCTGCTGCTCTCATTAGGAACTGCCGTGCATTCGGTAGGAAATTCAGCACCTTTGGGAAGACTGGTTCTCCTGTTACTTGGCATGCTTACAGCTGGCCTTACAGCTGGCCTTTCAGAGAGAGGACAGAATATTTTGGGGGAAATTGCAAAAGCAGTTAAAATTTTCTCTGTCTTTATAATGACTTATGGATGGTGGCGAGCACTCCTATGGATTATGCAAAATGCCAATTTGGTGCTGAATGCTACTGTCTCATAGGAGTAATTTCTTGGTGCTAATTACACTTCTTCACAGCAGCTACCTTTGCTTTGTGCCGGTCTAAGTGAAGTAGAGGTAAATACTGAGAGCTGATTCCAGTGACATCTGTAAGGATGACTCTAAGCCCAAGATGTCACCCTCTGCACCCAGAAGGAGAAGTCAGGCGTGTTTTGTGTGATCAGCAGCTTATCTACTAATGTTTTAGAATAGCTGCCTCATTTTACTGTGGATAAAAATAAGGTGATACACAAAAGTGATGGGATAATTTTCTAAAAGAGCCCTGGAATATTAACACGAGGTGGGAGGGTGGGTGAACGCTGTTACTTCACACTGTAGGAGGACAGATTGCAGAATTTGTCAGCAGAAAGAAGGAACACAGTGCTAAGAAGTAGATTTCAGTCCATTAAAAGCAGCTCAATATTTCAAATTTTTGGGAGTAAATTAAGCCATTCTGATTTATTTTCACGCCAAGTTGACAAGCAAATGGCATTTTCCTGTTTAAAACGGAGATGAATGAAAAATATAGCTAGTTAGTGTTTGAGGTTTTCCTGATTGTCAGATACTCCATCTTGTGTAGTCCCGGAGGGAAGGGTTTGGCCTTTCAGGCTTTTAGTCAGCAAGAAAAAACTAGATGCTCTCATCCCACACATTTTTCCTATTCTGCATTTCACCACAAGATGGAAGCATTACAACTGTCTTTGCAAACCCAACTGGCAATCAAGGGACTGTGAAATGAACTTCAAGCAAAGGGCCACTGAAAACCCTCTGGTGCTGGTGAAACGCCTCATGTCTTCTATTGCTGGTCTATTTGAAAAAAATCTTTGGTGATACATTCAATCAGTTAGGTGTTATCAGCTGAGTGAATAATTTAAAAATCCCTTTGGTTCAGTAGACACATTGCTTTTTCTGCTTACTGGCTGTCTTTACATTTTTCTTTTTTAGTGAAGTTGGTTAGTTCTTTGCTATGAAAATATGAAGTTGTTGTAGCTCAATTAGATTAATTGCATAATTATTAGATGCTGGTTGGTCTTTTCCCACTGTATCAGTGGCCACAAAATAAGGTATATAAGGAAGAGCATCTTTCTATAGATTTGTGGTTCCACCAGGCTAGGGAGGAGCCAAGAATGAAGTTCATCTCATCTGATAGACAATCCATCTCCTTCCACAGTCAGTGCAGAGAAACCGATGCCCTCTCCAGGACAGGCACTGGGCCATGGCCAACACCTGGCTGCAGCCAGGACAAATCACCTCTTCTCTCTACCGTGGGTGGCTTTAGGAGCCCTGGGGCTCTGCTGTGCTTTGGATGTCTGCCTTTGCCTTTACACTGCTGCTGGGTTAGAAGCCCCTGCCAAGGAGGGGCTGCAGAGTGAACAGGGAAGGTAGAGAAGATAAGTAAGAAAATAACAATCCTCATCCCTCCTGAGCCAATGGCACAGGTTAAATGATTTACACCAGGCAGGAGAACCTTGGCAGGACTATGAGGTGACTTCAGATCTGAAACATAGCCCAGAGGATTAACTCCAAGACTATCTATTTCCAGCAGAAAGTTCACCTTCCTCTGCCTAAAGACAAAATTCCTTCCGAAGGCTGCTGCTTCCTGGAGCTGTGCATCATGCTGGCTCTGAAGGCTGTCTGGATTTTGGGCTTGCCTTATTTTAGGCAAGGATCCAACACAGAGTACGCTGGCAGGGGGATTTCTGAGACCCAGGATAGCTTTTATTTACCACTGAGCACCCAGAAAATCCTTGCACCTGTAGCCAGGCAACTTCGTCCTCTTTTCTTCTGCCAAAACACGAGTGTGCTCCCCCAGAAGGAGCTTATTTGGAGCTGCCTGTAAGCCATGTGCGTAAATGACATACTGCCTTTGGTAATTATGTCAGAGCCCTTTCATGGAGCATGCTCTGAGAATCGTTAAATGCCCCTGGGAATGGCTTTCCAGGGAGCTGTGCGCTGCTGCTGGATCGGGAAGGCATTGTTATTAAAATGGTCAAAAAAAAGTGCGAACAAGGGATGGAGGGCATCGGTCCTCGTTAGGGGAGGGAGGAGAACGAACCGAAACAAAACAGAAAACCAGTCTGGGAGGTGTCCAGAGTTATTTTGGCAGTCTGGGCTTTTGGACCGAGGTGCCAAATCACAGCTGTGTAAGAGACTTATTCCCAGTTTACAGAAGCACTGAACAATTCAGGCAGCATTGTGCTACCTGATTTATATTATTTACTTTTTTTTTCTGAAGGGTGGAGAGTAGCACTGGGTGAAAGGACAAGGAGGTCGTTAGTGCAAGCTCGTTACCTGCCTCCTTGGCCTGCAGCCAAGATGGGGAGCAGCCAAGGTGAGAGATGTCCCTGTCCTGGGGATGGACATCGCCTCCCGCACTTGCCTGCCACATCCTCCCTGCCCCAGGGCTGCTCCTTCCCATCCTATCTGCTGAATCACTCCTGGAGAGCTCAGACCTCTTCCACCAACTTGAAACAAATCAGTGTCTGTAAATATTTCCTGCCATCTATTTGGTCTATTTTTAGCAATAGTTCTTTTTTGTTTTTTCTTGGCAAAAGGAAAACAAATGGAAACGGAGTCCTTGGGGATTGCAAATGGCTTGTTTATGAAGCAGGAGTGTCATTAACAGACTTGCTAGCAATCTTCATAAATGCATTAAAGCACTTTTCTTCTTTAATCACAGAAGGATGACTCCAATTCAGCGCAGGGCGACTCCAGCGTGCAGCCCAAGCTGTGCCGCTCCTTCACCGGTAAGCTGGGGAGCTGGTGGGTGCTGGTGGTAATTTCCTGTCTCCCCTGCTTGCCCTGCCCCGTCACCATGGGGTGGTCAATCAGGTGACAAGGGAGGATGGGCTGAGATCCATGGCATCTCCATTGCAGAGCTGGAACTTGGGAGACAGCCAAGGCAAAGCCTCCTGCCCTCCCTACCTCGCTGGGAGGTCTTCCAGCAGGAAGACCTGGGTTGTACGTTGCAGACAGGGCAGCAGGGGCATTACTCCATCCCAGGGGACAAAGTGGGGCACCTTAGATGAGCATCATCAGCAAGCCAGCAGGGTCGAGCGCCTTCCCAGCCCCAGTGCTCCACCTCAGCTCCACCTGAGACAAGATTTGGTGTGTGCTGGGATGCACAGCTGGCTATGAAGGTGCTCCAGGCAGCTCCCCAGGGACAGGCAGAGGTGCTGGGAAGCACAGTAGTGAGACGTGTCCCAGCCCAGGTGTTTGACCTCCTTATTATCTGTGTGCTGCAAGGGGGTGCAGGATTTTAGACAGAGTTTTCTTGTCTCCCATGTTCCAGCCAGGCAAGTGTCTGAAACTGGTACCATTCTTCATATTCCACCAACCACTAAGAAGTTTGACAGTAATTGCAGATCATTCTGCCTATGGTGAAGCTAGTGGATTAACTAAAACCTTATAAAAATGAATGATACTTTGAAACATGAAGTTCATGCCCAAATGCTTTCCAAAAATTAAGATCTATTATTTTTTTGCTTGCTAAGTATTACTGAAATACATTTTGAGTGCCCCATTAGCAGCATTATTTTGAGTATCTGTTACAGAAAGATCAGTGGCTCAAGACCTCATGTTTTTTGTAAGTCAAACCTCAGTTTTTTGATACCTGAAAGCTTAGTTTTCACACTTAAGAAAAGTGGTTTAACATCAGTGAAGCCTCACACACCATCAAAACTGTCAAATGCATCTTTCAAAATGCAGAGGACAGTCCTTTTATACTCTGAACCACGAGATGTTCAGTGGGAAACTGAGCACTGAATTTTTACAATATTTGGCACAACATGTTTTAGCACAATCACGTCTGTAAAAGTGATGATTGAAAAGATTCAGTGTTTGTTCATCCTGGAAGTAATGTTGCCTCCAAGTATGGGCTGAGTTACAATAACGGGCTGGGTCTAACATTAACATACAGAATATTTTTTCATTACATATGTACTGGAAAAATATTTAAGCAGCAATAAAGTATTATTGTTTTCTTTCAATCTTTTTGTGTACTATTGCTAATGTTTTCTTCCTTTGTAATTTTCTTTAAACAATTAACTAAAAACTTGCTAAATAAAGAGCCACAGAATAGCTGGCACTTCATCTGCATAAAGGTACAGGTTTGCAAGAGTAGATGGAAGAACCAGAATTGTGTGGCATTTGTGCGTTCATAGTATGGACATCTACCGGGGATGTAGCTATTTTATTCCACAGTTTATTATAAATGTTTAAGCTATGTTCTTCCTGAAGAAAAACATGAGTATAAGCAGAGCAAAGTCATAAAAAGCAGTGTTTCTGGTGGGTGGAGGTTGCCCCAGGGAAAATGTGAGCACTACAGCCCACCACATACCCTTCCATTGTGATTGCAAAAAACAATCACTTGATGCGGCAACATGGAATTTTAGGTGCTCTGGAAGGACACTTGCATCTTGCAAAGATGTTTTAAGGTAGTAACTGATAGGAATTGTGGTAGGGGTTGACAAAATTATTATTATATTGGTCCAGATATGTGAAATATTTCAAAGGACAGAATAGGGTTTAAATTCCTTCCCACCACCCCCCCAAACCACTGATCTTTGTATTCTATGATTAAAAAGTGATCCTTGCATTGAAATAGCTCATTCCCAATGAGCAAATGGCCACCTCAGTACACTTGGTATTTCTTCGTTCCTCTTGACGCACAAAGGAGAACATCTCTCATACAAGTTGATGTTTTTCTCTTCCTGCAGTGGGAAATGCAGAAAACGTTCGGGAGGTGAAACAGAACCGGTCGAAGTCAGTGTGTGTCATCCCACCGCGGCAGCCCAGCGCTGGGCTTCTCACCCCCTGGGGTAAGAAGAAAGAGATAGAGAAAGAGCTGACTTTGAAGACAAAAAGCACGAGTGCTGCTGCTGACTTCCCATGAGGGATCTGACTGTGCTTCATGGATGGCTACTATACATGTAGATAATGTAAATATGATCCATATTGAAAAGGACAGCTTGGACAGGGCAAAATATCCTGAGTGGTTTGCATCGAAACGTGCTCTTACTGCACAACACTGGGTTTTTAATGGGAACCAAGGGAAAAGATGCACAGCTGGGCACTAGTAATGCAAGGTAATGTCTAAGAGAATTTCTGAGGAATGTCTAGGAAAAATTAGTCTTTTCAGCCTGGGAAAATTGCTGAAAATGTCTGCAACTGCAAGAAAGGATGTTTTAATAAGAGGAGATATCAGGGCTTTTCATTAGTCAGCAGGGATAGACTAAACAGCAGGGAGCATGTAAGTTATACATTAGGAAAAACTTTATAATCTCAAGGAGAGTTCTATTAGGCAGTGGAGCATGTCACCAGGAAAGACAGCAGAAACAGGGAAAGATCTCTGCTACTCCTCAAGAGCTGGTGAGGCCTGACTATCAATACTAATCACATGAAGTCCAAAGTTAAGGTATATAGTTAAATAAGGCTTTGTGCCTTACCAAAGGCACTGTCCTACACCTTGACATAATTCTTTTAATGAAAATTTATTACAGCTGCATTAAAAGGAGAAAATATATTCTTACTGATTTTTTAAAAATTTACTTAAGAAATGGTTTACCTCAAAAGATAAAATAGGGAAGCTCCAAATCCACTGGCAATTCCAGGAGAAGAGTGTACTGTCCCTTAAACAGATGCACAAGCCTTGTGCTGTGGCTGGTTGGTTGCAGCAAACCTGCAAAGGCTCCCCAAAAAAGATCTCTGCTGCCACAGCCGAGAGCTGCAGGGTCACAGGAGTTCTGAATGCGTCTCCTTAGAAGATGCAGCAGAGAGAGGGACCCAAAACCTCGCTGCTGTGGAGCGCTTCTGCAATCCCCTTTGCAGAGAAGAGGTAGATGAACTCCAGGTATAGTGCCTGAGGAAGACAGATATCTCCACATTTGGGTAATTTTCTTTGAAACTCCAGGTAAGCTTTTAAGCCTTTGAATTCTTGTCCTTAGCTGAACCCAATAGCGTAAGTTTTAGCATTGCAAACATCAACATTTTTTGTTCTTTTCCCCTTCCTCTGCATTGAAGGATGCAAGGTCATTTAATCTAAACGAGTGGCCAAAGAGACTCTTTCTGAACTGAAAATAGAAGGAACTGTAGAAATTTGCATACTCCCCTTCATGATATTTTTGGACTTCCAAAGCTAATCTCTTGTGTGCAGAAATACTGCACTAGGAGGCCACTGCCTGTTACACCAGGGCTTTCATTTTAAATTAAAGACACAGAATTGTGTGTATTTGCTTTGCAATGGTGTGGAGGTCTCTTTTTCACTTGAACAAACTCCTTTACAATGTTCTGACATAAGCTGATGTATTTCATCTTGACTTGCAGGCCACTCTTCCATCACTGGAAGTTCACCGCACTGCAAATGAAAATTGGATCTTTTAGCCTTATATGTGTAATTTGTGTGTCTATATACATATATGTACATATTTACTGATTTTAGTATAGGTTCATTGTCGTCTTCAGTTACTTTGTTAAAATTTTGGTTTGTTTCTTAGTTTAATACATCTTGCATGGGAGTCATGTAGGTTTGCCTACGCTTTGTTTAGAAAATGGCCCTTTTCTGAAGATGGTGTCATGTACATGTACTACGTTTCTATCTCAATTAAATGTGCTCTGTTGTGAGATACCTAAGGGTTATTACCTCCTTGCATCTGCAACGCCCTCGTGGTGATGTCAGCGGTAGGTGGTGACACACGGGGTGTCTCTCGGGGTGTCGTGGATCCCGGCAGGTCCGCGTTGAGCAGCGATGCGCTCAGCTCTGCCCCGGGCAGCCCTCTGTTGGGGATCACAAGGTCACAAGCAAGGTGAGTCGTTGTGAGGCGTGAGAAAAGTCATCTGTTTATTGGTGTAAGCAATTGCATACAAGTGAGAGGGAAAAGAATAATGAATCCTTGGCTGTCTGGAGTGGGATGTCCGCTGTTTACCTACAGTTTAATGTCCACAGTGTTTAAAAGTTCTCCTTAAGTTCTGCATAGTAAATATCTATGGAAGGATTGACTAAGACGAGTCCTTTTTATTCTGTAGCTGGAGAGCAAAAAGGAAAATAAATCAAGTTGCTTGCCAGGGAGTTTTTAATTAAGTTTTTTTTTTTAATCAAGGATAGAAACTTTTTGAATCCCTTGGCCAATTCTTCCTTTGTGGGATTTTTTGTGTAATGGTGGGGTTTTTTTCCCTTTTTTTCCTTTTTTTTTCCACTTTTGGCATCTGAACTGTCTTGCTTTTGTCCGAAATATCTGGATGTCTGTACCATCTTTGTCTTGCCCAGCATCCATCAGGCTTCTGGGCATCGGGTACTTAAATAATGATATTTTTCTGTTTGAGTTTCCCATCATGGAAAATAAGTTCTCTGCAATATTTTTATGGGCTACCAAGGACCTTATCAAATGGTGGCTCTTCTGGCATGAGTAGATTTCTTTGTAATACTGTAGTAGACAATAGAAATGGTTGGAAGAATCAGGACACTTCCAGAAAATGGAGCTGAAATTTTACCTGATGTGGAAAAAAGGAAAAAAAACACGTTTTGCTTGCATTTATTTAAAAGTTGTACATTTTTGTCTCACTTTAGCACCAGAAGAGATATTTCAATGGCAGGATCTCCCAGCTTCTAGCAATTCCCAATGTTGCTGGGCTCCAGGTGTGTGGCTCCATGGCTCGTGGCTGCGGTGGCCGCTGCAGCAGCGCCGCGTGCCCGTGCACTTGCATTGGCCTCATCCTGCCCAGATCCCAGCCCGTTAAGCCCTCTCAGCCCTGCTTTGTGGTGCTGGGACCATAAATACCTCTCTTCTGTATTAACAATTTGCTTGATCTGCAGAGAAGACAATATTCTGTGCAGTACATACTTTCCCGATGACTCATTCTGCCCCAAAATTAACCTTCTAAATACTATGGTTTTTTTTTTTTTTAAAGTTTCTTCACAAAATATAATATCACAGCTAAAGCTTTCATGAAGTATTTTCCAGTTACTTAGTGGCCAAGCCCTCTGACTACTATGTATTTCAGCCCAGAAAACCTTTGATAATCTTTGCCTGTATCCAGTGTTGGTGGTCTTAAAATTCTACAACCCAGTGGAAAACTGTTAAATGCTCAGGCTTCAGAGCATGCCTAATTAATTCTTTGCAGGGTTTTAGTCCTTTAAAAAGTGTTAAAAACACGGATTCAGTGTATCATTGAATATTGCATGGTTCTGTGGAAATAAATTGCATCAGTTTGATTCCTTTAGCAGTTCAGAGAGTTATTGCTCTGTGCTTACTCTGGAAGTTTACAGTCGTCTTTTGAAAGTTAAGGTTAAAATAGGCAAAAGTTGCTAATGATGGGGAGTTGCTCAATGGCAAAGTGAGAGCCCAAAAACTACATCAGAAAAGTCTGGGCACGTAGATCAAGCAGCCACATTTACAGCTCAGGCTATAAATCTCCCTTACACTTGCAACTCCAAAAAGCATTTGTGTTTAGCACGTGGACTGTTTTTATTTTGAACATGCTTCTGTTTATTTTATTTCATGACTGCTTAAGGAGATTATAATGGCTTTATACTGGAAAGTACTGGCAACACTTAAGAAGCAGGTGAGGCAAATTGAGCTTTTTTCTCTCCCAACATCAAGTGCTGGGGGTACTCAACCTTGTAAGAAACTTTAAGTATCTTTCAACATCGAGGCTTATGTGCTTCTTTCAAGAGACATGGAGATGGTAGAGATGAAAAAGGAGCATGTGATGAACAAGTGATTATAATTTTAATGCAGAATGAAAGGGGCATATGTCAATATGGATATCCATTCCTCTCCTTTCCCACACAGTTCATACTCGGGGGGTTCATCTGGAGATGTTGGTGGCATTTCCAAGGCAAAGTTGGTAGCATTTGTTGTGGTCTGGGTGTCTTTGCTGTCCTTGGTTTCTTCTTGTTCTGAGGTTTGTGGAAGCAAGAGCAAAGACAGAGAGCCATGAGAGGTATTTACCCCATCTACCTAAGGGAACGCTACGTGGAGCATCTTTCAAAGCATGACAGACCCTCAGGGTAAGCTCTAACGCAGGAAGGTATGCAGATCTCCAAAGGGACTTGGGGAAGTCACTGAAAGCAGACCTGAAATCATGTCTGTTTATAAAATATAAAAAAAAATCCTCTGCTTTCAGCATGAGAGAGTGAAAATATGTTGATCTATCTACATAACATGCAATTTTTCAGCAAGCGTGGATCAAAACACAGAAAATAACAGTAACTCAGACCATGCTGATAGAGTCTTTGATCAATCAAAAGGTAAAACCCTGATTCTGGGAAAAATCTGAGCTGACTAGGCCCAGCTCCTTGCTACAGTATTTATGTTCTGGAGATTCACAATTTCAGTTTAAAAGCTCAAAGGCAAAAAATCATCAGGGTCAATTAGGAAATAGAGGTCACTAAAACATCCAGGATATGACCTGCCTTTCTTTTTACCTAGATCCTAGTGCTGACTGTGGTGGCACCCTCATTTGCCTTCTCTGGATAAGAGGAACCTTAAGGCAGCTTCCTGCTGGCACCAGAAGAGGTAAGGGAGGAAAGGGAAGGTCCTTTTCCTTGATAATTAAATGGTATTTGTGTCTGACTATTGCACGGATCACAGCGATGCTCAGATAATGTGCCTACCTAGCTTTGGAGTAGCACTCCAGAGATCCCAAAGCAAGATCCAAAGGACAATCAACATCATTACCAGTTTCTGTAGGCTTAGAAAGTGTGTCAGAATGTTACTTTTTGTGATTTTTTTTTTTTTTTTTTTTTTTTTTAAGATGAGGGTCCTAAGCCCATTGCTATAGTGCTCCAGGGGTGTTATATTAACTCAGGCACCAGCTAGTGATGAGAGGAGCTGTAGACTGGTTTGGGGTGACTGCTCCCCCCCTCTCCAGGGCTTCCCCACACAAACACCTGCCTTTGGGCTGGGGAGGCAGGCAGAGAGCTCCTGCTCTGTCTAGTGCCTGTGTATAAGGCAGCTTGTTTGACATGCGGAGACTTGCTTTGTATGGGGAAACAAGTGTGGTCCTAGTGGTCATTCAGGCCAGCCAGGAGCTGCATCACCTTCTGGAGGAGCCTCTTGGACCTCGTGCTGAGGGGTGGGATGGACCAGGCAGAGCATCTGTGGGACCTGAGGTCAGTGGGGTGAGCACTGGTACCAGGGCTTGCTGTTCCTGGCTGGGAAATTGTTTCTTTCCTTCTCTAAATTAAAGATCATCTCTGCTGGAAGAGTAAAATTGGGACTCCATGAGCCCTTGGTGAGGCTGAGAGCTGGAGGCTGAAATCCCGTTATGTTAAGGAAATTGCAAATCTACTATTGATTTTGGGATTTATCTCACAGTATTTTTGCATAGTAAAAGGACTTTTATTCCTGTTTTGTCCCCATAAGGTTTTCATCCTTATGGCCCTACTGCATGTTCTTTACGGGCCTCCCAATACCAAGTGCTGGATGTTGGATGTTAAAAATTTTAATTTTATTAAAAATTTTACATCAATTTAGGTATTTAATAATTGTTTTCATTTTTTGGATGCATATCAAAAGGTGTTTTGATCTGCAGAATGGAAGAATTCTTCTTCTATGAAAACGTAGAAATGAAACATTCAAAATTAAGACATGCATTTCTTAAAATTTTTCCAGAGGGACTCACTCACCCCAGCCCTGCCTTGAAAATTATTTGTTTTTTAAACTCCACATTTTCTGAGTAGTTCATCAGAAAATCCCCAGCCCTTTCTAACTGCAGAGGAAGGGAGGGAGCAGGCTGGAATGATTTATTGGTGGCCTTCTTGCCATTTCTTCTTTCTTTTTCCCCCTCTCTTTTTTTTCTTGTATGTGTGTGTCTTGTCTATTAACAAGGCTGTCTATTGCATTGTATAAAATCTATATGAACAAAATAATTGCACAAAAGGAAACCAGATAGCTAATTTACACTTTGAAACCAGAATGGGTTAGAGTCTTATATTTAATAAAGATGTTATTTCTGAAGAGTAAATGAGCTATTTTCCTATTAGTCTAGTTTGTAAGACTAAAAAGTCTTATGAAAAAGCATTCCTGTTATAAGAATTTTAATTCTATCTAATTTTTTCCCCAAGCAATGGGGAAATAGAGGAGTCCAGGGGTTGCAGCAGACAAAGTGGGGCTGAGGGAGTTTGCTCCTCTGGTAGCTCCTACAGCTGGTGCGAGGAGCTTCACCTTCCGGACTGGCTGGACACAATGGAGTTGATGCCTAATTAAAAAAAACAATGAAGGTGAACAGAGGGAACCATGTAGCTGTAGCCCCTCGCGTGCGTTAACTCATTGTCCATCCTGTCCAGGAATTTTTCAGATCCTAATAGTGACAAGCACGTGCGTGGGGGTGTGCCAAGGAGGAGGGACAGCTCGCTGCATGGAGAGTCATTTTGACCTTGCAAACTCAGTTCCTACTCCACAGCCTAAGAATCTGGGAAATTGTTTGGCTGGGGACATAACAGCCCGTGAGAAGCCAAGGCTGGGCACCAGCACCGCTCTGCCGCAGCCACGCAGGGGTTTTTCTGCCAATGGAACCCAGAATTGCTGAGGACACCTTCCAAATGGCAAACAGCGCTAACTTGTGAATACGCATTAGCATAAATGCAGCAATGCCAAATACAGCTGACTAAAAAGCACACATATAAATGTGGAAGTGTGCATTAATCCCTTTTTTAAAAATACATGAGTGCCCACTTTGCATTTTAATTTTATGCAATTGCAATGCAGTCTGCAAAAAAAGTCCTCACTTCTAGTGTGCAAACCTGTGTCTTCACTGAGCTCCTTCAAGCGTTGCCAAAGCTCCCCCATCAGTTGTGTTCAGTTTTGAGATATAGATCACAAAAATAGATGGCAACCAATTTTCCTTGTCACTTCAGACAGGTTTAACCAGTATCACACATTAGTTAAATGGCAACTGATTGAAATTACGCTTATTGGAGATTAATTAGGTGATAGATATATTGAACTTTGTATTTAATCAACCGTTTTATGTTCAATGCAAAGAGGTCATCTCATTGCAGTAATCATTGACTGCGAAGTAACCAGATGACTGTGAGATGGGCATGTTACTGCCGTTCAGAACTAGGGGATGGGCTGGGAGAGGGTTAATATGTGGCGGTGTGGGATGAGAGGGTGGTGGGAGGGTTGGCCAGAAGCAGCTGTGTGCAAACCCCTTGTAGTAGCAGGGATTGCTTCCAGCAGAGAGGGCAGGTAAATGCAGGAGGGCGAGTAAGTGGCCGGGGAGGGACAGTGTGTGTTTATTGATGCTGAATTACAGGGATGAGGAGGACTCGTTTCCCAGGCAGTGCACCATGGGAGGAGTGGAGCTGCTCCCCTGCGGGCTCGCCAAGGGTTTCAGTGGGAGGCTGTATCATGTCAGAATGATTTCCCCTCTCCCTTAGCTGACTAAATAGTTTGCTTGGAAGAAAAGGGATGGTTAAGCAGCCCAGAGACACGATGTATGTTTTCACTTCCCTGAAAATGGCCTTTGCATTGCAGCTCTCCCATCAGATGCGCATCCACTGCTCCCTGTCTGAGGGCCACACAGTGATGTTTCCACCTGCCGAGAGCGGTGTTCAGCCCTGCCATGAGGACTTTCATCCCATGATACAAGCATCAGAAGCATCCTTTCCTCTTAGTGATCAACGACAATGCAAACCTAACCTTTGAGACAACCCGCACGCCATGTCCTGCAGCTCCCAGTTGCCTTGCTTGCCCACCACCTTCCCCACCATGCCAGATGCATCAACATCTTCTGCCATCCTTGCCCTCTTGCCCCTTGGCAGCCCTGCTCTTGCTCTGACTCATGGGGCTATGGGGACTGTGGCTGAGTTTCGACCTTGCGTGATGGTAAGTCTGCAACCTGTCCTACCTTCCCTTCCTCCATGTGTCATTGTGGGGACTCCTCTGGGCAGGGACCTCTTTCCTGGATCCTGTCGGATGCCTCATGTGCTCACGGTCAGGTTAAACAAACTGCATCTCTGCTGCTGTGACAGTGAGGATGAGAGATCTAATGTATTATTTAAAAGCCATCCCAGCCTGCAATATTTAAGAAAGAACGATGCAGAGGATAGAATAAATTATTATAATTTAAAGTCTGTTGTGCTTATAGAAGAAGAACGAGCACATTCATCAGTCATTATGCCTCAACAGTTGGCTAGAAGTGTAGTCAGATTTACCCAACCCTCTCCAGTTTCCCTAACCAGCGTGCAATTTCTGTGAGACACCCATATATTCACAGTTAACTTTAACTATTAAATTTGGAAATTAATTTGTCCACACAGAATCCTGTAGGGTAAGGAAGTCAACATCATCTATCCTGTTTTCCAGAACAGCTCACAACTTAGGGTAAGGTTAGAAAACCAGAACTGATATTTTCACTGTAATTTCTATTTTCTCCCCCAGACTACTGGCATGTCACCGGAATACAGTTATTGCCCTACAGAAATTATAATTTTCCTAGTCTGGCATCTTGTTCCTGGCAGTGATCTACAGCAGATGCTCCAGCAGAAGATGAAAATATTAGGAATAAATAGCAGCAAAATTCCATGCAGGAATGTCCTTCTCCCCCTGAGACATTTCTTCCACAGCGGGCTGGGGCGGTGGGAGAGGTATGGATGCTGTATAGTCCGTTCTTCTACAGCTGCATAGCAAGATACTCAAGGTATATTGGTATGTACACCTAATTCTAATGCTCCTTGTTTAGCTGGATGTGGACCTGCCTGATTTAAATATATTTGCTTGGCTTGATTGCATCACTTCTGAGAGCACAAAGATTTTAAGAGATAACACCAATATTTGAATGTTATTGCTTGGAGCTCTGGGGTTGCTTTGTGTGAAAGCTGCATTGGTGCTTTGTTCAGAGGAAGCAGGAGCTGAAGGAGACACATATTCCAAAAGTGCCACCTCTATACTGCGCTTGTGAGGGCACCGCCAAAGGTATCTCACAGCAATGGCTGCAGACACCACGACAGGGGAAAGATCTTTGAGTTTTGAGCCAAGCCATGCACAGCCTGTCTGCTCATCTCATGCACAAACGGGCTTTTAAAGACTCTCCAGTGTCCTGGGCAGTTCTGCATCGTAACCACTCATGACCTACGGACGCTGCCTGACCGGCCAAGGCTAAGGGCTCTCTGCAGCGCTCTTCTGAAATCAACAGCCCTGTGTTTATTTGGAAATCTTCCCACTCTGTCTCAATAGCTATTTGTCATGTTCCTTAATGCCACAGCTGTTTGGTCACGCCAGGTCATCTGCTTTTATTAGTTCTGTTCCCACCACCCACTGAAACTCACACCAGCCAGGAGAAGATTCTTATCTGTGTCCAAAAATAGCACTTCTCTCGTCCCCCTCTTCCGTGCGAGTGTGGAAATTTCAGTGGCTTTCTTCTTTTCTGATTTCCAGCTCTGCTGCCTACCTGCTGCCCCATGAAGGCCGGAGCAGCGGCTCTCGCAGCCGGGATCCTCGGCGGCACTGGCGTGCTGCTCTTCCTCATCTCCTTCGGGACAGAGTACTGGCTCCTCGCTACGGACACCTGCGGCATCTTCCAGCGGGGGAACAGCACCCTGCAGACCGGAGAGGTAAACTCTGGAACCTGCTCTTGCTTTGGAAGAATTGACTAACTTAAATAATTAAAATTTAAAATTTTTAAAGTTTTAAATCTGTGATAATTTTTATGTTCGTTGAAAATGACCTGCTAATGGAAAATAACAGCCTGAGCTAACCTTAAAATCCAAAGCAGCTTTTCCACAGTATCTAGCATTTTGACTGAAGTAAAGCACGTCTAGGCAACGTTAAGACAGCACCTCTGTAATCTGGCAGATATGAACATTAGGGAATGAAAGGCAAAAATGTAAGAGCTTTACTTGTTGACAGCATTTGCCTCTAAAGACAAAAGATATCTCCTGATATTTGCCATTAAAAGATTTCTCCCTCTGTAGTTTCTTCATTTAAAAATAGTTCATATTTTAAAGTGTGGGACTTGGCAATCATTTACATCTGAAGTGATATGACTACAGCACAGACAGAAAACAAAAGCGAACATCAGACGCAGAACAGAGTAGACAAGAATTACTGCTCATCTAACAAGAGGCGGCCTATATATTTTAAAATTGAGATTTATATGGGATTTTAGTTAGCAGGAAATGTAATTTTCAAAGGACAATTTGGTATTTTAGTGCTAACTGCTGGTATCACTTGTTTATAGATCCTTTTGAAAGTTTGATTGTAGCTGCCCTTGCTGTTGTCTAACTCTTCAATGAAATAACAACCAGATCAGTTCGCTGAGCCACCCACTCTTCAAAAATGTTTTTGTGCCGATCAATGTGTGGTTTCAATTACAAAATGACAGGAAGATCCTTGTTGTGTGCAGACTTTTTGTTACTTCAAAGTTCAATCCAATTAGGTTTGATTTTTTTCCGGTGTGGTGAGTCACACTGGGTAAGTATCATGATGCCAGCAAGAAATACTTTCTTTCATTTCAGAATCCCATAATCAAATGTAGGACACTGTTCGCTTGAGTCATGTTTCCAAGTGACTTTCTCTGTTGAAAAAAAAATTATGATCGAAAAACTGCCTGGCAGAAGACATTGTCTTTACAAGTATCTTTACTTTTAAAGCATCCCAATGAAGCCCTGGAGATGGCAGAGAGTCATGGACAGAGGAGTGCCACTCAGCTTTTGTGCACTTGGGAAATGAGAGTGTTAATTGTTTCAGATTTTTGTTTGTGCTGTTGTCTTTTAAAGTGGAGAGGTGAGAGACGTTGCACTGCACAACATGAATAAGCATCTCAAACATTTCAGAGGCGCTCTTGGCCAAGTGTTAGTGCCTGTCACCAAGGCAGAGCGACTTCAAAAGCACCAGGCAGAAATAGGAACTGCTCTTACTCTTCCCTCTGAGCTATTTAATTTCTATTTCAGACACTGTTTCTATTATTTCTATTTTGGTTACCAGTTGTGTACAACGGATTGTTTTTACCTTCTCTGCCCTTTCTTCAACTGGGGAATCCTGTCCCTTACAGATAAGGATGGTCTCGAGTATCTGCCAAACAGCAGTTAAATCTGCCGTAGATGCACTCAGCCATCCAGCTGATGAAGTTTGAGGGCTGCATGTTACCATTGTCATAGTTAGTATTTTATCCTGAAAGTAAAAGGAGATTCAGGTCAGAGCTCTGGAAGTAGCCATGACTTAATGCATAAAAACCTCGAGGCAGGGGAAGTATCTTCTAGCACCTCCCTGTTGAGTCCCATCTCCTTTCTCCAGTTCACAGGATCCAACCCTCTATGGAGTTTCTCCATCTGCCACAAAATGTAATTTTGTAACAGTGATGTCTCCTTTACCAAACTGTATGTGATAAAGGCAATATTGATTTTGGCTATAGTTTTAGTAAGGTTTTTGGTAAATAGTCAACGACTCAACAATATCCTTCCTTTTGGAAAGACCTAAACCTTGTGCTTGCAAATCTGGTCTCAGGGTTTAAGCAGACTCACCACAAAAGGAAAAATTGTCGCATCCCTGTCCTGGTCTATGAGAAGACTGATGTGGGCAAAGAGTGATTTCTGTCTCATGTAGGTTTAGCATAACTTCTGCTGGACTCAGCAGAGGGAGAGAAAGAAGAAAATCTTTGGACTAGTGTTTGGAAGAGGCTCAATGGGAGTGCTAGAGTTGGATTGTCTTCTGGGGTTAAGCTGGACCTTACATGGATCCTGCAGAGTAGCAAGGACATCTGAACCATTGCATTGAGTCACCCCTAAAATTGTTTACCTGGTATCAACCTGCTTCCAACCAGTTATAACAGCAGTAAAATTTACTTAAGGAAAGTATTGAAGAAGTAGAATACACCCAGAATCTCTGCTGCCTGGCATACCCCTCCAGCTCTGGCAATTAGTGATTCAAAGGTATTACAGAAAGAAGACACTGTTTTGTGAAGTTCTGCAGAATGATTTGTTATCAGAACAGTTTGTAGCTCAGATACAGCAGAAAGTCAAGGACAGCAGCTGCCTCCATGTTCCCCAAACCCTCTAAAACCAACTCAAGCAACAAAAAATAAAAACTCCACCAAAAAAAAATGAAAGCAACAACTGCATAAGCAGAAAATACACACTTTGCACCTTTCCACCATGATCATGCCTGTATCAGCTTGGACTTTTGTTCCTCCACAGACTGAAACGCCAGCAGAGGTCAGGAAGGAGATCCTCACTTTCCATCACGAGGGCTTCTTCTGGCGGTGCTGGTTCTTTGGCGAGGGCCACCCGGAGACCATCTGGACCTTCTGGTACAGTAAGTATGATGTCCCTGCACCACACTCACAGCATTCGCTCACAGTTTGAATTGCAAACAAGAATAACAAGGGCTCCCTGGGATGAGAAGACAGTTGTCATTATTCTATTTCTTTTTTTTTTTTTCATTCTCATCATCTCTCTATTGAAAGCAAACTTGGCTCACCCTTTCACTCTTGTTTTGACTTGGATTTTGCTCTCAGAGAGGGATTGTTCACAGACAGGTTGGAACCTCCTGATGCCATTTAATACATCAGCTACAAAGTCTTACAGAGTGGTGGCTTCCACCAGCAAAGACAGCTGTCCCCTTGTATCTCTTGACGTTTGTGTTCAGCAAGGTTTGCTTTATTTGAGCCCAAGTATTGCTCTTCTGTTCACATTTCCAGCCATCAGAGTGTTCCCATCTCCCACTGATTTCAGCCCGGGGAAGGCTGGATGTGCAATCGTGTGGTCTCCCAGGGCCTCTAGCAGTGGGCAGTGATGGGGCATGGAGAGCCGTAACCACGTGTTTATGCTTTTAAGCAAATAAGACTTTTATTTTAAGATCTTGCCTGTTTTGCTTTTTAAGGTCATTGAAACGTGAATATGCAGAGACAGATCAAAATCATTCTTTTTTTCTGCAAGCACATTCACTCTTCAAAAAAAAATTGAAGGAGACAGTGAAACCTGTTCTGAGAAACCAGTTGGTGCTGACTGGTGGCCCACGTGCAGTGAAGTGTGGGGTCCTGGCCCAGTGAACAAGGTGCAAAGGAGTGAGACCCCCCCAGCACGGCTGGCACCAGTCCTGCCAGCGGCCAGGCCAGCAACCAGCTCACCCACATTAGTGCGCAGTGGGCAATTAAAGGACATCCTTTCCCTCAGATGCCACAACCCTAGAGAAGTATCTGGGATAAAAGAGATTTTAAGGGAGTTCCACGAAGGCTTTAAACACTGCAAAAGCCTTGACCCTGTACTCGCTGCTGCTTCATTCCCCTCAAAGATGCTTCCGTGCTTGTGGAGCAGTGTTACCACCTCGCACGGCATTTGGCTGCAAATCCTGCAGGTTCCCACAATACATTTACTCTGCAGTGATTAAAATTTCAGATGACTTTGCTGTCCCCCAGTCCCCAACCTGTGTTTCCCGTAAAATCTTGCAGGAGCAGTTACTGCCACCATTCAACTGAACAACCTGAGATTTTTCACGCAGAATTTTTTTGATAAAAAAGGACAGGCTTGAGAGAGGGAGTTTGCTATCTAATTACATTATATGGAAATACATGATATAATATAATGTTACCTGAAGTAAAATGACTCTTTCTGATAGCTGGCAAATTTGTATTACTTCTTTAGGTATTTATTATAATAGGATTGATCATGGCAAATTAATTTGCTGCTCTCATGGATGTAATAATTAATTCAATAGGTATTCCATAGTCAATTTAGCATGAACTAATGTCCACCTATTATAAAGTGTTCCTTTGAGCTGGGGAACATATTTAAATAAGTGGCCAACCATTAATTAATTCATTTAACATTCATTCTATTACCGTTAATCATGATAAGCCTCAGTGGTATTAATATTGATGGGGCACTTTCATTCTAATTGTGCTTTCCCTTCTCACAAACTGGAGGTCTTGTAAGGTAGCTCGTTCTGGTACCCAAATACCTTTGCCCCTTCCAGGCAGTTTGACACATTCTCTGGAGGAAAACGGCAATGGGAATATTTACACTGATTTGAGTTACTCCATCTTTCATGATTTATGCCCACCTCAGACTCAGATTATGAAGATGAGATGATGTATGGGTAACAGTCTCAGACCCTGTTATATCTCCCCTCTCTTACCATTCTTCTTTTTCTTTGTTCTTTCTAACCAGGTTTTACTGTACTTCTTTACTTCCCAGCCTTCTGATTTTAGTGAGGGTTTTGTAGGTTTTGCAGAATAGTGCATTGCCTTCTGAATACTATAACTGTGATTTTGCAGAAAATAAAAGCAAACAGGGATTTTTCTGTTGTTCTTTTTCAGCCAGCCAAGCACACCCCAAGTTCTGTATGCATGGCTACCTCTTTCCCCTGCCCATTGCTCCTGGACCTTTCCCCCATCCTTCCTACGACACAACTGCAGGTGAGTTTCTTTCCTGCTCCCTCAGCACTTCCTTTCCCAAGCAATTGGGCAGAGATTTATGATGTGTGTAAGTGCTGCTGTTCTCCCATTGTAAATGCATGTGGCCAAGCATGACCAAGACTTTCAGAAAGTTCCTTTACAAAATGGCCTTGTTTAGTTGACTGCCCCAAGCCATGAGCACATCGAGATGTTCTTCCACATCTTCTCTCCTCCAGAGCCAGCCATGCCTGGCCATGAGCCATGCACCCTCCCGCTGGGAACTCAGCACACACTCCCATTGGCAAGGGAAGATGCTAAATCCGCTCTCTCCCACCTCCTCGCTTGCTGGGAGGAGCTGGAGGCAAAAGGCTTCAGCCCCTTGGCCAAATCCAGACCCTGTGGGCAAGCAATAAAAAGTCATTTCTCCTGGGCTGCAGGCTGTGGCAGCCCAGTGCTGACTCGTTTCCAGAGTCTGACTTCCTGGGAGAGCTCTGGTGTTGATTTGTTGCAAGACAAAATAAACAAACACTGGAAAATCAGTTAAAGACCAAATTGCTAGAAGATCCACGTAAGTGACTGGCTTATTTTTAATACACTGAATATGACACAGTTGGAGAGCTCTCCTTTCAACTGGTTCCCTTTTTATTTATGTTTCTCTGTATTTTCAGAGTTCTTTAATGAATCAGCTGCTGTTAGGAATTTTAATTTGCTAAATTGGTGGCAGCAGCTAGAATTAATTCAATGATCTTTTTTGAAATGAATTGATTTCTTTAAATAGTGTGCATCACTCTGCGTTGCCTCTGGGGATCCGGAGCAGGCATACTGCACAAACAAACATCTTGACCTTTTCCTTAGCCTTTAGCAGTACCTTTTTTATTTTTGATTTTTTTTTTTTATGAGGAATTAATTAAAAACCCCCACATTTGTCAGTAGAGGCATGTGAGGGAGAGCAGCTAGTTTCTTTTGCTGTGCAGTGCAAGATTCCTGCCTGGGGGAACACGCCGTAGTGTAAAATGGATACGAGGGACCTGTGGAGGGTGGGAGGAGGAGCCTGTGGCAGGCTGGGTGCAGCAAGCTTGCGGGTTAAGTGGGGGGATTTTGTTCTGCTTAGGAGAGGCAGGCATGACGTCTAGTTTCTGAATGATCTCGCTGATAAACACACTATTTTTTCCATACTAAATAAAGGGCCCTGGAGGCATCTGTCCCTGCCTGTCAGCCCTTGCTATGAAACCCTCTTCAGCTGCCTCCCAGAAATGTCCCGGGAAGGTGCTGGGGACCGGCTCTGCCTGGCGGCTCCCAGCACCCACCCTGTCGTGGTCCCCAGGGAGATGAGGGTGTCTCAGGACCCCGTTTAGGGCAGCAGGACCATTGGGCTCCTCTGCTGCACCAGCCCCGCTGCAAAGCATTTGGACATCTGCAGAAAGCAGACGCTCCCTCCTGTCGCTAACACTCATTGTATTTCAAGCCAGTCCATCCTCATATGCAAATAATGACAAAACAGGAGGCCATCCAAGAAGAGGGGTCCTCCAGCTATTACCTGCTCCAGAGATAATTCTGCCTTATCTGCATCCTCTTAGGCTCCCTGAGAGAGACGGGTGACGGGAGGTTAAACATGAAAATGAATTCTGTGGTTTTGGAGAGTTCAAGATACTTATCTCTCCCTAAGTGGCTCTCCTGACAAAATGGTTTCAAATGAGTAAAACGCATCTTCTCTGTATCATTTTTCTTTCAAGTGTGAATCATTTCAGCATTACCCACTTGCTCATGCTCTGCTTAAATCTCTCTAACTAGCGCTTCTGAAAAACAACAGGCAGAGCAAGATGCAGTGGTCTAAGGGGACTAGATAAATCAGGGGAACGGGGAGCAGGGTATCAGAGGATCTCTGCCTGAAGACCACCACCTTTGGCCAAGGTTTACTCCAGTAACTGAAGAGACTTGGCTACTGGGAGACTGGGGCTACATCCCATCCTGTGGGATGTGATGGACACAAGGTTGCTCGGCTCTGGCTGGCCTGGTTGTAGGCAGTCGCAGCAAAACCCCCAAGTTCAGCAGATGAAGAGGCAGCTGTTCTCTTGCCCCTGTTCTCTCACTTGGAGTTAAGCAAGGTCATTAATGGGGGAAATCACAAGCTCCTGTTTTCCCTTCAGTCCTGCTAACAAAAACTGCCTTTATTTCAAATCAGGAACCTGGCACCTTCTGTAAGTGTTAATTAAAATGGAACAAAGATGTGGTCTGATTCTATCTCTCCAAATTTTGCTATTTCCTTTCCATTCTTGCCAAGCTTTTCCACCTCCCCCAGGCACAGCTAGGGACGGTGTCCTTTACCCTCAGCCCCCTTTGTGGAGTGCTTCCCTGGCAAACAAACCCTTCCAACCCTCCAACCCCTTGTGCTCGTTACAGTGCCATTGTGTAGGGTGTGACATTCAACCTGAACTTGTGCCAGTTCCAGGCTCAGGGCACCCACACTGCCACAGGGAGTCACCAATGTAGGATCCAGCTCTGCCCGGCACAGGCAGCATTACAGGTTATGGCTCTTACTGTCGTGGAAGCAGGAGTTAGGTATGGACTGAAGAAAAATGCTTTTCCTCTGCTTTCCCCTGACCTGACTCTTTTTGGCCCTGCAGTGTACAGAGGCTTCTGGACGGCGTTCATCATGCTGGCGCTCGCCGCCGGGCTGGTGGGAGGGCTGCTGCTGGTGTGCGGGGTGCCCTTCCTCAGCCCCCGCGCCTACAAAGTCGGTGGCGGATTCCTCCTCGCCTCGGGTAAGCGCGGTAACGGGATACGGTAACGGGATACGGGATACGGCCGGGGCAGGAATGCGGCGGGATGGGACGGAGAGGCAGCCGGGACGGGCCTCTGCTGGGGGAGATGGGGGACTCCGCTGGGAGCTGCGCCGACTTGGAGTAAATTACTTCCCTCTTCCCCATGGAATTAAACCTCTGTGCTCAGACAAGCAGTAGCAAGATAGTTCTTAGTCCTAGGGAAGCTGGGGTTTGGGAAAAAATGCCCCCTTTTTTTTTTTTTTTTTTTTTTTTCTAAAATATCATCGTCTTGTGTGACCTCACAGAAGATTTTTTCGAAAGTAGAAAATGTCATTGTCAACTACCTTTACAACTTAAGTCCATTTTTAGAGTTGGTGCTGACTGGTGGCCCACGTGCAGTGAAGTGTGGGGTCCTGGCCCAGTGAACAAGGTGCAAAGGAGTGAGACCCCCCCAGCACGGCTGGCACCAGTCCTGCCAGCGGCCAGGCCAGCAACCAGCTCACCCACATTAGTGCGCAGTGGGCAATTAAAGGACATCCTTTCCCTCAGATGCCACAACCCTAGAGAAGTATCTGGGATAAAAGAGATTTTAAGGGAGTTCCACGAAGGCTTTAAACACTGCAAAAGCCTTGACCCTGTACTCGCTGCTGCTTCATTCCCCTCAAAGATGCTTCCGTGCTTGTGGAGCAGTGTTACCACCTCGCACGGCATTTGGCTGCAAATCCTGCAGGTTCCCACAATACATTTACTCTGCAGTGATTAAAATTTCAGATGACTTTGCTGTCCCCCAGTCCCCAACCTGTGTTTCCCGTAAAATCTTGCAGGAGCAGTTACTGCCACCATTCAACTGAACAACCTGAGATTTTTCACGCAGAATTTTTTTGATAAAAAAGGACAGGCTTGAGAGAGGGAGTTTGCTATCTAATTACATTATATGGAAATACATGATATAATATAATGTTACCTGAAGTAAAATGACTCTTTCTGATAGCTGGCAAATTTGTATTACTTCTTTAGGTATTTATTATAATAGGATTGATCATGGCAAATTAATTTGCTGCTCTCATGGATGTAATAATTAATTCAATAGGTATTCCATAGTCAATTTAGCATGAACTAATGTCCACCTATTATAAAGTGTTCCTTTGAGCTGGGGAACATATTTAAATAAGTGGCCAACCATTAATTAATTCATTTAACATTCATTCTATTACCGTTAATCATGATAAGCCTCAGTGGTATTAATATTGATGGGGCACTTTCATTCTAATTGTGCTTTCCCTTCTCACAAACTGGAGGTCTTGTAAGGTAGCTCGTTCTGGTACCCAAATACCTTTGCCCCTTCCAGGCAGTTTGACACATTCTCTGGAGGAAAACGGCAATGGGAATATTTACACTGATTTGAGTTACTCCATCTTTCATGATTTATGCCCACCTCAGACTCAGATTATGAAGATGAGATGATGTATGGGTAACAGTCTCAGACCCTGTTATATCTCCCCTCTCTTACCATTCTTCTTTTTCTTTGTTCTTTCTAACCAGGTTTTACTGTACTTCTTTACTTCCCAGCCTTCTGATTTTAGTGAGGGTTTTGTAGGTTTTGCAGAATAGTGCATTGCCTTCTGAATACTATAACTGTGATTTTGCAGAAAATAAAAGCAAACAGGGATTTTTCTGTTGTTCTTTTTCAGCCAGCCAAGCACACCCCAAGTTCTGTATGCATGGCTACCTCTTTCCCCTGCCCATTGCTCCTGGACCTTTCCCCCATCCTTCCTACGACACAACTGCAGGTGAGTTTCTTTCCTGCTCCCTCAGCACTTCCTTTCCCAAGCAATTGGGCAGAGATTTATGATGTGTGTAAGTGCTGCTGTTCTCCCATTGTAAATGCATGTGGCCAAGCATGACCAAGACTTTCAGAAAGTTCCTTTACAAAATGGCCTTGTTTAGTTGACTGCCCCAAGCCATGAGCACATCGAGATGTTCTTCCACATCTTCTCTCCTCCAGAGCCAGCCATGCCTGGCCATGAGCCATGCACCCTCCCGCTGGGAACTCAGCACACACTCCCATTGGCAAGGGAAGATGCTAAATCCGCTCTCTCCCACCTCCTCGCTTGCTGGAGGAGCTGGAGGCAAAAGGCTTCAGCCCCTTGGCCAAATCCAGACCCTGTGGGCAAGCAATAAAAAGTCATTTCTCCTGGGCTGCAGGCTGTGGCAGCCCAGTGCTGACTCGTTTCCAGAGTCTGACTTCCTGGGAGAGCTCTGGTGTTGATTTGTTGCAAGACAAAATAAACAAACACTGGAAAATCAGTTAAAGACCAAATTGCTAGAAGATCCACGTAAGTGACTGGCTTATTTTTAATACACTGAATATGACACAGTTGGAGAGCTCTCCTTTCAACTGGTTCCCTTTTTATTTATGTTTCTCTGTATTTTCAGAGTTCTTTAATGAATCAGCTGCTGTTAGGAATTTTAATTTGCTAAATTGGTGGCAGCAGCTAGAATTAATTCAATGATCTTTTTTGAAATGAATTGATTTCTTTAAATAGTGTGCATCACTCTGCGTTGCCTCTGGGGATCTGGAGCAGGCATACTGCACAAACAAACATCTTGACCTTTTCCTTAGCCTTTAGCAGTACCTTTTTTATTTTTGTTTTTTATTTTTTTTTTTTATGAGGAATTAATTAAAAACCCCCACATTTGTCAGTAGAGGCATGTGAGGGAGAGCAGCTAGTTTCTTTTGCTGTGCAGTGCAAGATTCCTGCCTGGGGGAACACGCCGTAGTGTAAAATGGATACGAGGGACCTGTGGAGGGTGGGAGGAGGAGCCTGTGGCAGGCTGGGTGCAGCAAGCTTGCGGGTTAAGTGGGGGGATTTTGTTCTGCTTAGGAGAGGCAGGCATGACGTCTAGTTTCTGAATGATCTCGCTGATAAACACACTATTTTTTCCATACTAAATAAAGGGCCCTGGAGGCATCTGTCCCTGCCTGTCAGCCCTTGCTATGAAACCCTCTTCAGCTGCCTCCCAGAAATGTCCCGGGAAGGTGCTGGGGACCGGCTCTGCCTGGCGGCTCCCAGCACCCACCCTGTCGTGGTCCCCAGGGAGATGAGGGTGTCTCAGGACCCCGTTTAGGGCAGCAGGACCATTGGGCTCCTCTGCTGCACCAGCCCCGCTGCAAAGCATTTGGACATCTGCAGAAAGCAGACGCTCCCTCCTGTCGCTAACACTCATTGTATTTCAAGCCAGTCCATCCTCATATGCAAATAATGACAAAACAGGAGGCCATCCAAGAAGAGGGGTCCTCCAGCTATTACCTGCTCCAGAGATAATTCTGCCTTATCTGCATCCTCTTAGGCTCCCTGAGAGAGACGGGTGACGGGAGGTTAAACATGAAAATGAATTCTGTGGTTTTGGAGAGTTCAAGATACTTATCTCTCCCTAAGTGGCTCTCCTGACAAAATGGTTTCAAATGAGTAAAACGCATCTTCTCTGTATCATTTTTCTTTCAAGTGTGAATCATTTCAGCATTACCCACTTGCTCATGCTCTGCTTAAATCTCTCTAACTAGCGCTTCTGAAAAACAACAGGCAGAGCAAGATGCAGTGGTCTAAGGGGACTAGATAAATCAGGGGAACGGGGAGCAGGGTATCAGAGGATCTCTGCCTGAAGACCACCACCTTTGGCCAAGGTTTACTCCAGTAACTGAAGAGACTTGGCTACTGGGAGACTGGGGCTACATCCCATCCTGTGGGATGTGATGGACACAAGGTTGCTCGGCTCTGGCTGGCCTGATTGTAGGCAGTCGCAGCAAAACCCCCAAGTTCAGCAGATGAAGAGGCAGCTGTTCTCTTGCCCCTGTTCTCTCACTTGGAGTTAAGCAAGGTCATTAATGGGGGAAATCACAAGCTCCTGTTTTCCCTTCAGTCCTGCTAACAAAAACTGCCTTTATTTCAAATCAGGAACCTGGCACCTTCTGTAAGTGTTAATTAAAATGGAACAAAGATGTGGTCTGATTCTATCTCTCCAAATTTTGCTATTTCCTTTCCATTCTTGCCAAGCTTTTCCACCTCCCCCAGGCACAGCTAGGGACGGTGTCCTTTACCCTCAGCCCCCTTTGTGGAGTGCTTCCCTGGCAAACAAACCCTTCCAACCCTCCAACCCCTTGTGCTCGTTACAGTGCCATTGTGTAGGGTGTGACATTCAACCTGAACTTGTGCCAGTTCCAGGCTCAGGGCACCCACACTGCCACAGGGAGTCACCAATGTAGGATCCAGCTCTGCCCGGCACAGGCAGCATTACAGGTTATGGCTCTTACTGTCGTGGAAGCAGGAGTTAGGTATGGACTGAAGAAAAATGCTTTTCCTCTGCTTTCCCCTGACCTGACTCTTTTTGGCCCCGCAGTGTACAGAGGCTTCTGGACGGCGTTCATCATGCTGGCGCTCGCCGCCGGGCTGGTGGGAGGGCTGCTGCTGGTGTGCGGGGTGCCCTTCCTCAGCCCCCGCGCCTACAAAGTCGGTGGCGGATTCCTCCTCGCCTCGGGTAAGCGCGGTAACGGGATACGGTAACGGGATACGGGATACGGCCGGGGCAGGAATGCGGCGGGATGGGACGGAGAGGCAGCCGGGACGGGCCTCTGCTGGGGGAGATGGGGGACTCCGCTGGGAGCTGCGCCGACTTGGAGTAAATTACTTCCCTCTTCCCCATGGAATTAAACCTCTGTGCTCAGACAAGCAGTAGCAAGATAGTTCTTAGTCCTAGGGAAGCTGGGGTTTGGGAAAAAATGCCCCCTTTTTTTTTTTTTTTTTTTTTTTTCCTCTTCTGACCTACCCAGAGGAGCAGGGCCTTTTATTTCAGTGAAGTCCGTAGCTGTGTTAACCCTGGGCAGCAATCGGCCATGCCCTGCTCCCCTAAGCCCGTCTTTGCATTTGGGCCTCTCCTGTCTCTGCTGTTAACATCTGGTGGAGCTGGAAACCCCCTGAGCGATGAAAGGCAGACCCGGCGAT